ATCTGTCCTGGAGGAAGTGCAGCCAGAATGCTCCTTGGAAGCAAGAATGGCCAGACTTTGTCTCACCTATTTTGGTCATGTTGTAAGAAGGGATCATTCCCTAGAGAAGGATGTCATGCTTGGTAAGGTGGAGGGTCGACAAAAGAGGGAGAGGCCTTCAACGAGATGGATTGACACGGTGGCTGTGATGATGGGCTCAAGTACAGCAGGGATTGTGGGGCTGGCACGGGATCAGGCAGTGTTTCATTCTGCTGTGCATGGGGTTGCTATGAGTCGCAAATGACTCAACGGCACTTAACAACAACAACAACATTGCACTGGGCCAATCTGTTGCAAAAGACTTCTTCAAAAAGTGTTAAAAAGCAAAAATGTCACTTTGATGACTAAAGTGACCCTGACCCAAGCCACAGTATTTTCAGTCATCTCTTATGTACGCAAAAGGCGGACAATCAATAAGGAAGACTGAAGAAGAATCGACGCTTTTCAAATATGGTGTTGGTGAAAAATATTGAATATTGTCAGAAGAACGAACAAATCTGTCTTGGAAAATGTACAGTCAGAATGGTTTTAGAAGGGAGGATGGTGAGACCTCACATGTCTTAGACATGTTGTCAGCAGGGAACAGTTCGGAGAGAGACTTCATGCTTGGTTAAGCAGAGGGTCAGCGAAAAAGAGGAAGACCCTTGATGAGATGGATTGCCACAATGGCTCAAACACAGCAACGATTGTGAGGATGGCACAGGACCAGGCAGTGTTTAATTCTGTTGTACGGACGGTCACTATGTGTCAGAACCAACTCACCAAGTATGAGACAGCACCTACCAACAACAATGTGCAATTACTGTAACTATTGATAATTCTGGATGAATTGCCACATCTTATTTTGTGACTTCTACCATGTTTTCAGATGTTCTCATTTGGTTTTGCTTCCTACAAACCCATTTTCTTGTTTTTAAGTATCCAGTTTTCTGCATTTTCTTACCTCTTCTATTTATTAGGCATTCTGGTGGCGTAGTGCCTAAGGCAATTTGATTGCTAACCAGAAGGCTGGTGGTTCAAATCCACCAGCCACCCCTCAGAAGGAAGACTGGGCAATCTACTTCCATAGTGATACCGCCTCGGAAACCCAAGGAGGGGTTGCCATGAGTTGGGTCCGAAGTGACGGCAATGAGCTCGGAGTTTCTGGTTTTCTACTTATGAGGAGTGATGCTCTGTATCTCTAGGCCTACAGCAGCCATTCAAAATGTTAACGTGCACGTCAGTGTTAACAATCTAAGACAAGCAACACTTCCTGCAGTCCTCTCAGAACACTTACCATCATCTATCATGGTACAGAGGCTAGGACTTCAGTTCAATTTTGATTTTACTCCTAAATTCACTGCCTTTTTTTAAAAAAATAATCGATAGTACTGTGATTTACAAATATGTTTGCCAATTTCTTTCCTCTTTTTTGATCCCAGTCTTTTTTGCTTATACTTCCTTTTTACCGTTTCAAGTTATTCATTCAAGAATATTTACTGAACAGTTAACCAGATGGAAGGTATTATTCTAGGTGCTAGTAATACAGAAGTGAATAAAATAAAGCCCCTACTCTTGTGGAATTTGTTATAGTGGGCACTTACATTATTCTTACTAAAATAGGTGCTTCAGTAACTCTGGGCAAGCATATTGAGTGGTGAACTCTCTGTCTTGGTCTCTATTTTATTTTCACTACTGAATGATAGTTTAGCTAGGTACTGAATTCCAGGTTCAGAGCTACTTTTCCTCAGGACATTCTAGCATCTTCTGGAATCTAAGGTTACTGATGAAATGTCTGCTGTCATTCCAATGCGATTTTCACAGGTGTCACTTTGTCCTTTCTCTTTTCTTATTTCTAAGACTTCCTCTTTGTCATTGGCGTTCTTCAGTTTTACCAGAATGTGCTGGATTTGGCCTCCCAGACAACTTAAATCTATGGAGGATGCACGTGATACAGAAGATTTTCTTCTTTCAATTATTTTTTGTCTTTTCTTTTGTTGGGGGCGGCGGATTTCCCATCCAAAGCCTGGGCAGAAGGCAGCCAACCTCACTACTATGAGTTCTCGTTTCATGTGAACAGCAACTCTTTGGAGTTCCACTTGAAGGGAAGCCCTCAAAGTTCCTAACTTAAACAGATCCAAAACACTGATGAAGCACACAGCCTACTGGGACAATGTCTACTTTAAAAATACAAACAAAACAAAACAAAAATGTTATGTGTGAAGAAGCAAAATCATTCCTTTGTATCTCTCTCTCATAAGACTAAACTGATAAAAGCCAAGGCCCCATATAAGAGCCATACCACCCTGCTCCCTTCTGCCTCTTTCTTCCATCTGAAGCTAACATTTTGTAACCTCTGAAGTGGGGTAAACCTGACCGCCAGCTTTGGTCTCAAGCTTCTGTATATAATGTCAGTAAGGAAAATGGGTGTCCCACATGTTCCCACCTTCTACAGTGGGATTTAGTAGTTATGCCCAGCCATTTGCTTCCATTTGTCATTGTTCCAAATGCACAGAGTTCCAATAAGGACCGAGAAGAGATGGGTAGAGGGCCACCATATAAGTCTGTGCTGTTTGCACAGCATGTATGTAAGGCATCACCTCTAAGGGGCTGTTCCCATGGTAGATCTGAGTATTCTGACAATAATCCTACAATTGGTAAGGAAGTCAGCCTTTTAGTGTGGGCGCTTTTGCTCATTTGTACAAAGGTACTTTTTTGGCTACCGGCAGCCTCAGAAAAGGGCTGTGCTTTGAAAAGGATGTAAGCATTACTAAGGTTTCTGGCCACAATTCTATCTAACAGCATGTCAAAGCAACCACAGGCAGGGATCATCGGCATGTACTCTCTGGGATGGATATCTGGCCAAACGATGTGCTTATGGACAGAGAACACATCTTACCTCCTACAACTCAGTACAATGCTGAACACTCACAAGTTACCTGTAAAACTTACCAATTTATTGGTTATTATGTTATGAAATGGGACTACCGTAGAGATGTTCAGCAGGTGGCATGATTTTAGATTTTAACTAAATTTCATCCACAGAGAAAACATTTGCAATGAAACATGATGCACTAACTGAGCTTAGAATTCAGGTTTCCTTGGAGAAGACATTTGGGTGTTTTTTTTTTTCTTTTATCATTTTACTTCCAATTCCATTTTAGTCTACCAGGTACAGGCCTTCAGGCAATGGCATTTGTGTTCCAGTTCTGAAAATTAAGTAACTACCCTGGAGTATATGTGTACTCTACAACAACTGCTTTTCTCCTGTCTTTTCATGATTAGAGTTTAGAGACCATATGTAGAATTACTGCATCTACATGTTCCCTGTAAACTGAAACCCTTCCTTTGGGTTGAAGAAAGCTGTTACCTTTTTCCATTTTTTATAATGTTCTCTTGCTGTCTAATAGTCTATGTTTAAATGAGTACTAAGTTTTGATTCTTCAGCTATTGCTGTCATTAACTTCTACTGCAATATTTTTATTCATTCTATATTTTTACCTAAAAAAATATATTTGGGGTATTTTTTCTGGAAATACAAATTATGAATTCAATTGAAGTAAGGTAATGCTATGGCTGAAACAAATTAGAGAATAACTAGCAAACTTCTATTCAACACAACCTTTTGCCCACCCCCTATGGTTTCCTTGTAATTTTTTAGCCGTGTTATTATTATCTCTCCATTCTTCCCTCCTATTTCTTCCAAAAACAAAACAAAATTAAAAGCCTGCTTACCTAACGAAGCCCCACTGTGGGAAGGAACTTGGCCATGTGCTTCACCCGATGCTATCACAGAAACCTACTGCTTACTTTCACTTCAGCCTTCTGAGCCATGACTGTGTCTACTTTTCAGATAAGAAAGCTCATCTTCGGGAGGTCACACAGCTCATCTTCGGGAGGTCACACAGCTCATAAGTGTTGCAGCCAACACCTGAACTCCACAAATTCTACTCACTGAGCCCCTATGTCCCTGCCTCTTGCTCCCAGAGCACACACATTTAAAAGAACTGAGAAAAGGAAAGGATTACACTGGAAATTGCTAGGCACATCATTACAGACACACACAAGACAGCGGTGGTGTCCGTCCAACTCTGAACCAAAATGCCAGAGTAGTCATCACCAGACACAGGTACAAGATACATGGCAAAAACCTCCAAACATTTTTCTCTTTCAAGAATATCATATTTTACAAAATGGTCAACTGACTGAGTCCTCTCTCTGCCTGAGCAAGGACAGTTCACTACGTCACCTGAGCACTGCTTCCTCCCCGTCACCTTCCCACACACCTGGGTAAGGTGAACTCCTCTCACATGTGCTTAAGACGGCCATTCAAATGAACCCCACGTAGAAGGCAGACAACTGGGAAGCAGTGGGTTACCTGTGCCACTTCTTCAAAGTCTTCGTGGCGTTTCTGCAAGGCTCTGGCCCGGTGAAGAGACTTCCCCACCCCCGTGTGCTTGCTCAGAAACGCTTCTCCGTGGTTCTCAATCCAGTCCAGCACCTGCAACGAAACAGAAGCAGATATGCCATCAAACCACGTCCTGCCTTGTTCACTGTGTCAGTGCTGTCCACTGAAGGCACACGCTGCCGTCAATGCCCCGTAAGAGACAACCAGCAGAAACTGGAAGGAGCACCTGGAGCTAATCTCACCCACGGGATAATTTCATTTTGTATCAGCTTCCCCACCAAGATTTTAATCAGCTTTTATTTTGAAACTGTAAACCTATTTATGCATAAATGTTACATCCAATGATCAAATTAAACCCCACCTCATTTTACACATGACTGAGCTACCCAACTGCCTGAGAGTCATATAAGATAGTGGTTATTAAGATCCAGGACCAGCTGAACTTAATGTTTTCCTAAGGCTCAATGTTTCACAATGCAGGCAACTCACATTTAAATAAGGAGGGTTGGTTGGTTGGTTGGTTGTTTTTTACGATTTCATCTTGAGAAGACTCAAAACATGTAAGCAAAACCTAAGAAAACAAACATTCACATGCCTCGGGTCTGATCTTTGAGGATCACTTATTCTATTAAGATATTGTGAAAGCTCAATATTCAATGAGTTTAATTAGGTGAAAGTTCCTGCTAGTTAAAATGCACTACACTAAAGAAAAGGAGTAAAAACAGAACAGTGCAACCCCCATGTTTTAAAATTCACCCTGGAGACTGAGTAGCACATTGGCTCTCTTCCTGAGAAATCACAAAATACATATTTTTACTAATGACATACTTTACTACAGCAAATGCATATTTGTCTCTTTCTAATGGAGGAGGGATACACCGAAAGAATTCACTGCTGTCAAGCTGATTCCGACTCATAGCGACCCTACTAGACAGAGTAGAACTGCTCCCTAGGATGTGCAAGGCTGGACGTCTTCATGGCAGCAGACTGCCTCATGGAGCGGCTGGTGGGTCCCAACCACCGAGCTTCTCATTGGCATCTGTGCATTTAACCAACGAGCAAAAAAGTTAAGTGAAGTTTTCACCTAAACACTGAAAACTGAAACTGGAAAATATTTAAATGATATGCTCATGTACTGCCTAAGGTACTACAGGCTGAATCGGACTTTGCATGTTAGTAACTATGGTAACTAAGTATACAGATCAAAATCATCTTGTCTTAAAGCACAAACAGGGGTGCACAGAGCTCTGTGGTGGTCAGAGGGTGACCAGGAAGCCACCCCGCCTGACACTCCACTAACAGCTAAACAAAAGGGCCTTCACTGGAGGGTCATCGCTACCAACAGGATCTCTGTTCTTGTTAACTGCAACACAGTGAAGTCAGCTGTGTGCACAGGCATCCAGAAAAGCAAGGCAGCTGGTGAGGACCAGAGTCCCGTGTGCAGGGACAGCTCAGTGTGCCCTCCACAGCTCCAAACCAGTGTCCCTCAAGACCTGAGGCTCTGACTTGTCCTCTGGTGCCAAGTGAATAGACATGCAAATGCAATGGTCTGTGGGCCTGGATAAATCTCTGACGGTCCCCTTATATCCTTGGACAGTAAGCAGAAGCTGAGGTCAGAAGCATGGGCACTGGGGAGGTGGGGTGAGGGCAGAGGCCAAGCCTCACTGCAGTGCTCAGGCCAAAGCCACACTTCACCTTGTTACTGCCATCATTCCTGAACCTTTCTGTTGTCATTATCACCATTCTGCCAATTCCTGGGGTCCCACCATCAGAGGACTCCTCACTGGGTCCATCTGCACCATCTACCCACCCTCTCATCAGCCACCCAGTCCTCCTGACAGTCCTACAAGCTTTCCCTACCTCCTCTACACTTCCGGCCCCTGCACACGGACAAGGTCAGGCTGTGTAGTCCTACAGTGCTGCCACAGCGTCCTCACCATCACCGCTGATAACGATGGGACTTGCCAGGCTTGGATGCCATCTGTGTTCAGCTTCATACTATCAGCGTGGCAGACACACAGCCCACGAGCTGTCTCCAACCACAACCCACAAGCCATGGCAGGCATCCGTCAGCTGTCGGCTCCTGAACGGCTGAGCCCACTGCTTTCTTACCGAGCACACAGCACTCTGGGTCCCCTTTCTGCGATCACAGCACACTAGTCAGGGGGCAGTGCTGTCTCCTGACTCCCAGGCAGACGTAAAGCTGCCGAGCCGCCTGGAAGAGTCTCTTTGAATAGATCAGGAAACACAGGCCCTGTTCTACTCTGAAAGAAATGGCTCGATGGCAACTTTAAGACCTCCGAGCCTCAAAGAACGGGCACATTTAATGAAAAGTGTTTCTGGGTGTTAAGACCACACCATGAGGGGTCAAGTACGGAATATTTTAAGCCCCAGTGAAACCTAGAGACACAGAAGCAACAGCTATGCTGGGCTCGCCTGTCTGTAAGACCTGCTTCAAGGGCTTGGGAGTGTTTTTGTTTATTTTTTACTGTAACCATAGGACATTTCTGTATCTCTCTCAACCATAAAAACAAAAGCTAAGCATTAGTAAGCAACAAACTTCATGGTCACCGGCAGGTCAGCAGAGACTAGAAACACAGGCACAAGTTTGAAAAGTGAAAGAGGAAGACTACTTGGTAAAAAGGGATGCAAGAAGCAAAACAACAGTATTCTGAAAATAATAAAAACTTGGTTTTTAATCATAAGGAACGTGTTCAGGAAGAATAAGTCGCTAATAAAAGCTTATTATGAACCAAGGTGAACCAGGTAGGAGCACTCCGTAGAGCAGTCAACTGCAGGAGATCAGAGAGCAGCCTTTGTGCAGGGATGACAGCTCAGAGGGCAGGAATGCATGAGCAGGAAGGACGCAGGGAAAAGGTAACCGCAGGGAGGAAGTAGGAAAAGGGCTGGTACAGTATGGGGATTGCAATCAATGTCGTGAAAACAAAGTGTATATGAACTGCTGTATGAAACATGAATTTGCTCTATAAACCTTCACCCAAATCACAATTAAAAAAATAAATAAATAAAGCTTATTATGAACCCAATTGCTCAGACTTGTAACGGCATTTTTCTTTCATCAGTGGTTCCTTCAGATACAAATGTAACCACTGGGTGAAATTACATTTCCAGCACACATGAAAGTGATTCAAAGGAGAATGTACAAATTCCAACCAAGCACCTTCTTAAAACAGCAACAGACAGTGATGAACTCCAGCGAATGTCAAGACCCAACTGCCCCACCCTCGGAAGCTGCCCCTTCTTTTTCTATGAATGTAAGAAGCCCAGCTTCCTACGGGTCCTGAGCCATCACACCTGCCCAAGTAACATTTTAAAGACATGCCTGTGAAATCTTTTAATTCCACCCATAAAGTTATCTCAAAGCAGGATATTCCTCAGCCTGTCCTGCCCGCCAACTCCCCGACCTCAGACAGAGCTGGCAATCTTCTCTGTGCCTTGTGACCTCAACTCCTATCACAGAAAGGCCAGCCCAGGGTTCACAGCTTGCCTGCCAGACTCAGGAAGAGGGCAGAAGCTGACCTCCCCTTCCTGGGGTTAGCTGGCTCACCAGGGGGACAAGCTGCACCCCCTTCTGTTCAGAGCTAGTAGCAGGATGTGCTAAGAGCTTACTCTGAGGACACCAGGGCCCACAAATGGCAGCCTCAAGGTCAAAGTCAGCTGCAAAACTCAGCAACCAGCACATAAAACACATTCCTGCTCTAAGCAGCTGAGTCAAGGTGTTGGATATGCAGGGACTCTCACAGATCCATCTCTGTGCAATGAGAAGTAAACCGAGGCCCTCGGGCAGTTAATTCAGGCAGTTAATTTATGGAACGTGATTAGGGCAAGTCTGACTAGATCATTTATAAACCGATAATTACAAGGTGTCTGAGCCTTGAAGCAGGTGGTGCCTAAGGGACTCAGTGTGTTCATCACACACGAAGCCAAGGGGCAGGTGCGCTTGTTATCCCCATTTACAGCTGAAGAGACAGGCCCAAGGGCACTTAGCTCCCACCTGGAGGGCCCTATGAGGACTTGCACCCAGGAACAGCCGTGTGGGCACCAACCTCATCACCCCTGGTCTGCATGGCCCCCTCTGTGACTTGGCACACAGGTGGCCCTCCAGGCTGTGGGTGGAGAGAGACTGGCTTCTGAACAATTCTGGCTACTGGGTAACTGACCTCTGAGGAAGTGCCACTGTTACAATGGGCAGCAAAACTGGGTTTAGGAGAATCAGCACTTATCAGCCTCCTTACTAAAGACCCTGTACAGTAAGTCCCTAGATGCACATGGAAGAATGTCCATCTTGTATTGTCTATTTGTAATGCTATTTTCTATACAAAGCCCCACTACCTAATAGTCTAGGAGCTCTGGTGGAATAGTTCCAAGGCATTTGACTGCTAACCGGAGGGCTGGCAGTTCAAACTCACCAGCCACTCCTCGGAAGGAAGATGGGACAATCTACTTCTGTAGTGATACTGCCTCGAAAACCCAAGGAGAGGTCGCTGTGAGTCGAGTCAACTCAATGGCAGTGAGTTTTAGAGTTACCTAATACTCAGCATGTTTTGTGCATTAATATATCTGAAGTGATTAATTTTTCTTAAAGATTTTGTGAACCAATTGCTCAAACTTGTAACAGGGCATTTTTCTTTTATCAATGGTTCCCTAAGATACAAATGTTATCCACCGGGTGAAATTACATTTCCAGCATACATGAAAGTGATTCAAAGGAGAATGTACAAATTCCAACCAAGCACTTTCTTCAAACAGCAACAGACAGTGATGTACTCCAGCGAATGCCAGGACCCAACCCCCGGGAGGCCATTCAAAGAGGTGACCAAGCCTCAGGAGGCTGCCTCCCACACATCATGAGGACCAATGTCATGACGTGTTCCTTAAGATTCAGACCTGCTCAATTCAAACGCACACCATAGGAGATCTCTAGCGTGGTTACTGGGAGACTATCTATGTTCAGGAGGACGAGCCAGGCCCATCATCCTGTATTGACATAAACCTAAAGCAGCTCTGAACTGCCAGAGATTGTTTCCAAAGCTTGGAACCGGGAACACATTTGCCAACGAAACCGGGCCTGA